CCAAACAGATTCATGCTGTTCAGTTCAGTAAATTACTTGGAATTTATCATTTATATAAGGAGTTTCCACTGGAGAAACTACAGTAGTCCCCAGTATCACGTATTAAAAACAAAGACGTGTAGTTCTGAGTTTACTACATGACAACGTGACAAACAAGTAGTGCTAGTTTCATAACACGGTAAATTCATTCTTCAGTTCCTTCAACTCTTGAGAATGTTTTACTGACTATTTTAAGGTTCAGTCAACAATTCTAAGCACCTTGAAGACATTCATAATGTACATGGTTTAAGTTATTATTAGTTTTGTGAGATTGATTAGGTGTTATCTCCATCAGACGATATTCCACTCTTTATAGCACGTTGTTAAGCTATCGTTAATTCTTTCATCATGATTTGAGTAACTAAGATGGTTGTAGTTTGGCAGACTAGTATTTGTACTGCGTGATGTTTGAATGTCAGATGATCTAAACCACAACCGGATTCGAACCAGCGATCACCGGTTTACCGGCCCGGTGTTCTACCAACTGAGCTACGGGGTCCGACTGCTGACCAGAATTTCCCCAACTGAAACTTGATAAAACAACATTAATGAATCATACACCAGTTGAATCATATCTGCCTTACATTGTGATTGTTTGAATATCGAAATGGTGACTGAGATGCTTGAAAGCCCTTCATCTAATGATTGCTTTTCATGTTTATGCAATCACTAAAGCCATGGCAGAATACCAAACAGTCTTTGGACTATACCTATTTCCGATAACCGTTTTCTTTTAAAACCTAAGCGGCAATCGAAAGTTAAAATGACTGTTAACTTTGAAAATGGTTTCTTATTTGTGGATTTCAGGAGTAACTATCGAATAAAGTCACTTATTACTGGAGCATTTATATAGGAATCAATACTCAAATGTTTGGATTGCATAGCACTAACTAACATAACTGATCACATGAACAATCAGTTGTCTGGTCAATGGTGTTGTTTAAGCGTTTTTATATTTGATTGTGACTAACTTAGCTTGTTATCACTGTTTCGATTTTTGAAGTAATCTCACATGTGATCAGCCTTCCATTTGTTTTCCAGCAATGAGAAAGTAGATTTTAAATTTCATCCCTTACTAGGTGCTTTATTTAGGCTATGATGAAAATAGAACAGTTTTCAAGCCCCTAAAGTTTACTCATATGAAACAAGTAGATTTCTACTGAATATGACTGCTTCTAAAATAAAAAATACCTACTCAATCTCACTTAAAATAAATCGTTTAGCTTTTTTCATGATTGATAAATCTTTTAAAGTTTTTAAGAAATAAAACAACAAAAAAATGGAATAGCTCACATAAATGTTACCGTAGCACAGTTCCACTGAACCTCCAAATTTATCAGAGACATAAACGCAGGCATCTGCTGGTTGGTTCATGTATGGTACATAGAAACAAGTTTTAGAAAGATTTCCACTTGCAAGAGCCACGTTGAAGGAAGAATTTCTTACTAGTAAAGTAAATTTATTTACTTATTTAGTATTTGATTGAATATAGATGAAGATGAATATTAAATTGTTTAATGGTGCCAAGTTTTTAAGGGAACAAGGAAATCAGCGCCGGACTTTGAGTTTCTCTAGTTCATGCAGTGGATAAAATTAGACAGTGTTGGTTGCTTAAGGGCAGTTGACAGGAAACCAGAAACCTTGATTTTGACTTGTTGGCAGTCGTTAAAAGTGAACTAAAGTATCCTCTGAGATCCAGATCTACATCTCCCAGTGTTTCAGTTACAGACGTTATTACTAAGCTACTCAGGTGGCGATATGCCTTGTTGGCGATTACCGACTACAGGGGAATCTAGATCTAGGAATCCCTGCTGATTTTCTTCAACTAACTAACATCAGTGCAAATACACCATAATGAGCCTCCTAGTTTGGTCGCCAAGTGTTGAAATGATCTCTCGAATCCAATCAGCTGTCAGGACTAGACAAATTCGTTACTTTCCAGCAGCCTACCAATGTAAAATTATATAGTATTTAACTAATAACACGTCAGTCTCATGGAATATTTTCCCTGTATTATAAAATAGTATACTGATAAAGTGGTTTTATAATCAGTATTTAAGTCTACGACTAATTGGTGATTTTGGAAGTGATGTTGATTGTGAACATAGAAAAACTGGAAGAAAACAGGAGTGAAGCAGCATTGAAATAATGTTTTGTTGAAGTTTATGACTTTTATAATAAGTATCCTCTGTTTGCTTCTGACTAGAAGCTATGCTAAGTAGTGACTGGTAGAACTAATAGCATCCGTTTCAGTAGAATAACTTGAAGATTTTAGAAAACACGAAGTTTGTAGAAACATTTAATCCATAGACGCATGGAATGAAACTAGTATCTATGGAGTCATACATTTTTCACACACACCCCATAATTAATTCATTTCATGGACTTAAGGAAGGCATCAATAAATATCAGAGACTTGACAATGTAACATATTAGACTTGAAATTCACAGCAACGTCGTTAATACCCATAAGGTCAATCAGAAAAAGACCCAAAGCGCTTATACTACCTGATAGTGACAGTGAAAATTTGTACTACCTTCTTCACGCTTGTAATATCGTAGTTGGCATTTGAGATATTCTATCCTTTTAAACAGCAGCCTCGAATGAACTATGCTCAGAGATCACTTAGAAGTAACTGTCTCAAAAACGTTTGAAAAAAACGCTGAAAGAGATAGTTTTCTCAACACATTCATTTGAATTTGTTAGCAGAGTCAGTTAAGTTGAGATTCTGTCAATAGTAATGTAGTTCAAGAGTTGGGTTCACTTTCCAGCATAGAAAAATTTTGTAAACAAGTCAGGCTGAAAAAAATTACTTGATTTAAACCAGCTTTCTGTGCGTTTGACTTTGTAATAGTGTTATTTACTGATAATATGGCGTGCATTCCTGTTAAAATCGCTTTCAAATACCGTACATGAAGATATTCAACTGATCAAAGTTCTGAAGAAATACGAAGAAAATTTGAAGAAAATACCAAAAACAAGAGAAAAAGTAACAGAAACAGGCTTAGTTATGCCTTCTTTAGGAGTGAAAGCTTGTTGATAAATTCTTCTCTGGCAAAGCAACATTTGAAAAACTAGAGCTTTCAACTAGGTTAGGTAGGTAAGGCTGCAACGGTGACCTTTAAAGTTAGGCTGGCAATCAAACTTCGTTATTCTAGCGGTTGCTAAGATGGGCTTTAGAGACTGCATTTGAAATATAAATGGGTCGCTGCAATCGTGATGTTCATCTTGCACACAGCACAAATCTCACTTTCTCTGCAGTGTTTGAATTGGTTGAGTTTGTTGGATTATCGAGTTCTGGACAAACTTCCAATGTAATTAAACAAGATCAACTCGTTAATACTAAGTACAGAAATCATATCAGAATTCAAGATTGAAACAGTACTAGTTGATGCACATACAATAATCTTGTTAAATATGAAATTCATTTTAGAGTTTTGTCAAAAATTCGTCAAATTTAAAGTAAAAACAACTTACTAAAGAAGGTATAACTCAGTGAACTGTTTATACTGGTGAATTTTTACAGTTCACACACATCTTGGTATCTGTCACATTATATGTGCATGTGCCAATTACGGGTCTTGGCAGGTACTGAAATCTTAGACATAATGTCCCGTTGTCCAAGTTTCGTGTTAAAGTGGCACAGGCAAGGCATCCTGTGACGTTTACTGATCGACTGAGAAAGTAATCTTTCTTGATATGCCATGATGAAGTAAGTGAACCTGTTTTGGATGAGATTTTAAAAGATTATAATTATGAAACCACGACTAACGAAAACATGAAATCGCTCATGAAAGTGAAAAGTACTGGGTGGCTATTTCTTCACACTTTTAGGCTGTTCATTCTAATGAACTCAGTCACTTCCTAAATCAATAGGTTGTAGTTAAACGTGAGATAAAATCCAATAGTCAACAGTTATTTAAATGAAATAGTCATTCAGTGTTCTCTTATTTGTATTAATTCTCAGGCATTAATTTAGGTGTACAATTTGATTGAATTAAAAGAGCACCCTACTAAAGACTGAAATAGCTAATTAGACTCATCTTTCAATGAACTAGTAGATAACGCTCTGGCGTTTGAGGGGCGATTACTCCTGGGTTCAAGTCTTAGTGGAGACGACATTACTCACTAGGAGACAGGTAAATGAAGTCGACGGGTCCTAAACAGAATTTCAGTCCTAGCCAGTATCCATTAGTAATATCAAACTTGAAAAATACCGGAAATATAGAGGCATCCGCGCTTGAGTCCACATACCAACAAAGATGGATCATTCCGGTCCAATCAACGGTGGAGATGAACAAACAATATCATCATAGATTCCTTTCTTTGATGAAAAAGTTCACTTCTCTAGGCGAAATGGAGTAATTTCATTAGTTGGCAGGATGGCCCTTGGAGTCTCAGATTAATGAAATTTTCATTTGACCTTCAGTCATCACCCAGTATAAATACTAGTCTGCCAAACTACGGCTATCTCAGATTCTGAAATGATAATGAAACTGTTTCTAGGCTGTTACTATACACTTTTCATCAACAGTTTTAGATTCAGCGTTCCTATGCAATATCACTTATGAAACAAGTTGAATTACTTAAATCCCGTTGCGTAATAATAACCGTGTGGAGTCATTTTTCGGGTGTAAGTTGTGTTTAAAGGACCTGACAGTGATGAGGAATACTCACCCACATACAGGACGTCTAGAATTTAGTTTTTGAAAGACAGTTTGTTTGTTATGCAATTTCATAAAAATTGAGGTTATTTATTGCAGTCAAACACTTGATTCCCTATTCTTAAAATTAATAGCAGTGTACGTTAGTTCTAGATAAACAACTCCGCAGTATTCTTGGAGTTATATTCGATTAACATGCCAGTTTAGGCTTTTTCTTTTACTTTTGTGAATCCATCAGAAAATGAATACTCAAAACCAGTTCATTAGTTATTAACAGGAATTTTACTCTCACTTACCTTCTGTAAACATATCCTGTCTAGTTTGATTAAAGGGTAAAGATTTGCCATCTGAATAAATTTCTCTAACTTCCCATTTAAATCGCACTGTTTGGTCAAATATACCAGACTCTGCAAAAGCTGTTAAGTAAAGATCATCGGATTCAGAAATAAACCATCTGGTTAAGTTTGATGTCGTCTGTAGATTGAAACATAAGTGGGATATACTGCATCTGTAATAAATTTTATTTGAACACAGAAAGACATTTGAAAAGATGATTGGGATTTTGCGACTTATAAGCAAGATAACACTTAAAACACTTAACAAAAAGGTTTCAGTGTTCCCTTACATTTCTGTCTACTGAATGCAGCTTCCCTGGGGTGATGGAATCTAGGATATTAAATAATACTAGACATGTATTTTGAGATCAATGGGGATTTAAACTTTGAGGTAATACTCATCACAAACTGACATCACCTAGAGAACCAATGAAAACGGGTGAACTAGACGACTGTTTAGTTCTAGTGTGGGACTCTTCAGAAGTATTCACCCACGAACCGGCTAAAGGTCAAACTCAGGACCTTCAGGTTTCACGGTGAGCACGCTAACAAGTCAGCCACTGAGTCACGTGCGTACTGCGTACTGAAGGGTTCGATATTGGGACGAAACAGCTGTCCACTGCTCCCAGGTTTTCAGCAGTTCTCCAACGTATGCTAGTTCGTAATGAATATCAACCCCAATAATTAACATGTTGCAGTTTCAGCCTAACTGATGCTTGAAAATAGTTATACACATTATTGTTGCTTTTATTAGAAGTCGTTAATATTGTGAGAGTGAAGACGATAAAAAGTTAACCATTAAATTCGTTTAACTGCGACATTGCCTCATGTAGCTTGGTTCTCATACTAGATACCCTCAATGATGAAACTGTGTCAGGATTTAGGAATCGAACATAACAATCTTCAGTGTCAAGCTAGTCATATTTTTTAGTTTCAATTCAAAGGAAAGAATAAAATGGACACATAGTGTAAGATTTTTCTTTGTTATTGCCAATGTGTTTCCATCTGTTTTCTCGCTTCGCCTAGCAACCATGGTGTACTCCAAACCGAAGACATAACGTACCTGAACTGAAGTAGGTAGACATTGATGAAACAGCTAGTCAGGAGCGGAGACCAAATCATTTAATCATGACAACTAGAATCAAGCATTTAGGTAGTTAGAAAAACCCATTGAGAACTTAGAAGGTCAGTCCATATCAAGAATTCTCAACACTTCGTTCAATTTTGATAATCTACGAGAACATTAGAGGTTTTACATATATTTATTCAACTTTTTAGTTTATGTGATGATGTCATTCCAGTTTACTGAAAGGTAATTTCTTACAGTAAGAACTAATTACAACCGCGGTCATCGTACAGTACTTAAACTGAAGTTATCAACCCTTAGGCAACCTAAACAAGTATGTCCAGAAATAGTGTCAAGCAGAAAGTTCATAATTCCACTCATACAACATGCTTCACTGTTCAGTCATAAAGGCTGATAAAATGAGTCAAATATTCTCAATTAAGATTTGAAGATAGAATGTCTCTAAAGTTGGAGATCAATGCTTGTCTGGGTTTTGTTTTAAAAGATTTGAGAATTTGTTTAGTTAGAGCTAGTTTCTATAACGGTTCAAAATTAAATATTCTCAAAATTGTCACATTAACTAGTCATCATTAATGACCAGTTTCTGAAAGATGATGCTCTAAAATAATTGTACAAGCTGTGAGCAAGATAATGGAACTAGACAGTAAAACTCGAGGATATAACCCTAAATACCCCTCAAAAATTATTATTTCTCAGAAAGTTCAGAGAGCTAGTTTTTCTGACTTTTGTATCTGAATGCTTTCTTTTTTGATAAAGTTTGTGTAAAGTTGACCAGTCTTCATCATAATCCATTATTAAGAATTAAACTGTAATGCGCATCAATTTCAGTCAAATTTGGGGCTCTTCACAGTGAATGTTTAGTGTCTTAGAGTCATGTGATTAGAACGTTACTTTTAAGTTACTAAGTGGAAGCTGAGTAACTAACAGTTTTCAGTTTACTCTGACATGTGATACCATAGGATCATTTTTTAATGTTGCCGGAAGGTGCTTACAAAGCCAACTGACTTGATTTTAGCATATATCGTGGTTTATCGCAAAAACTCTTGAACAGTCACTCAGAATGTGTCACGAAAAGGTAAATAGATAAACAATTTCAGGATGACATGAATAGCTCAGAAAAATTTACTGGATTTGAGTGCTTTTTTCTTCAATATCAATTTTTGAGAGCTCCTTTTAATCCACTCTATATTAGCAACATATTGTTCAGAAGCAAGAATCGAATTGAAATCATCAGTAACTAACAACTCACTTTACTGAAAATACCGGAGTTGTGTTGTTTACTGTCAATAATTGCATTGTAGTTTTTCCTGTTCTTTGAGGTGGTTTACTACCGATAACTTTAAATTCATAGGTTTTATTAACTTTGAAGTTGTCAGTTGGAAAACATAATGTACCATTTCTTGTATTGATACGACCTGGACCGTCTCCAAAACAACCAGTATAATTTAAACTGTACTGATATCCGATAGGTTTAGGTGAAATTAAATTTTCAGATGGCTCTTCATTGGCTTGTTTGCAATACCATATCCAAGATCCAATACCCTGATAAAAGTAATGGTTATTATAATAAAAAGTAAAACAAAGATTAATGTAAGAGTAAAAGTTGGTCCCTAAATATTTAGATTTGGTACTAGGTTAAGTTAGAAACCGTTGAAAATCTACAATAAAAACAATTATCACTGAAAGCACATAAAAGATCAAATACAATAATATAATCGAAAAAAGATGATCAGTTTCGGTGAATTTAGTTTTCAAACTGATATACCAGTCAAGATGGCTTTGGAAGCAGTTAGAAATGCGCTCAGTGACGGTTATAAGCTTACATTATTGAAATAAGCTACTATCGAACAAATCATCCTAGAAGTAAGGTTAGATCTGATTTCTACGGACTTAATTTCAAAATAAAATATCTAGACAAACAGAAGGAGCTGCCGATGTCCCCGATTTTGTCAGATATATTAATGGATAGATAGCAACGAATAGCCCTTAAACATTTAGTCCTGCTCCGAAGATATGCTCTAAATACGTAGATGACTCATTTACAGCAGCGAAATCAAAGATTAAAAATAGGTTCTTTATCCACGTGAATTCACCAGTGAACACGATCTAATTTAGAAAATGATCAAGAGAAGCCAGCTAGGATAATGTAAGAACAAGATGGGAGTTTTGACGAGCTACTCTAAAGGCCACCCTAACAACCCCTGAGACAGTCAGTTACCATTCTTTACTTTGTGAGAAACTCCCTTCGCAGAGGGAATACAGAAACCTGATTGGTTATTTCTGCAGTCACCCGTTTACACACTAGTATGTTATAATTTTCCATTTCCATCATTTCTTCCCGTCAGTAAACGTGGGCTTGGTTGTTCAAGTAGCAGAGCAAAAGTTGGAGTAACTCTAGATTGACTCTAAAGTCCACCCTAACACCTTCTGATGTAACTCGTATAAGTTCTCTATGGCATGGAAAAACAACATTTCCGGTCGAAATTAGGAAACCCAATTATGTCAGTCGTCGCTCTTAAGTCACTTCAAAAGTTATTACTGGTAGGATACAGAAAATGAGACTAGAAATCCAAAACATTAAGGGAATCTGACACTTCAGTAATTATTCATAAGAATTTTTGAAAAAGTATGAAAAGATGTCAGTAACACAGGTGTTAGTGATGATGAAGTAAGAACTCAAAACTTCCACTGCCTTACAACACCAAAAAGGGTACTTCGGATGCTTTACGGCGAAATGTCAGTTACGCTAGGATCAGAGTAGCAATTAAATCTTCAAACTAGTTTCGATACAAGCTTTGGGTAATTGGATCTCGCTGGTTCGATTAAGCGGAATATTAGGTTCATCAAATCCTTTTCAGTGATTGCAAAATCAAATACTAAGGTCATAATGGTAGATCAGATTCAATTAGGCTGTCTGAGCATAACTTTAATTACAAAGCGAAAAACCGATCAGGAATGAGAAGGGTGAGGAATCGACTGGATGACAAGACAGAAATGTAGGACAGCCTCAGTTTATGTTGTTTGTTTCATTGAGTTGGTCATAAAACCCAAGGTAGGAACGGTTTTATTCATCCTAAATCTGCCATGGTTATTTCAGCACCTAGAAAAAAGTATTGTACAAGTTTGATAACCCACACAGTAGTAATCTTATTGTCACTCGAAGAAGATAGGTTCACCACATTTTCGAAAACATTTTGGTCACCATAATCATTTTCCTCTAAACTATTTGTGAGCAGAATTTTTTCTTGGATTTGAAGTAACTGTCATGTTCTGTGTAATACAGGTATCTGTAGCAGTTCTAAATTCAATAGCCTATTTCTCATAAAATCTCAACCCAAAGGATGAGAAAACTCAGTATAAAGACACATTCTTGCTTCTGTTTTGAGAACAAATTGACATTTACTCAGGAAAAGTTTACATGGATTGAACATTCGAATAACCGAGTCAAGGAGTAGATTCATAAGCAGTCATAGAAATTCTCCTCAACAGTGTGCACCCAAAACCGCCAGGGATTGAGTCCGGGATCTACAGCTGTCCAATGCTCCCAGGTTTCCAATGTTCCTCTAAATGATTTCAGTCCATGATAAATTCCAAACTAAAATCGATTAATAAACCTTTACAAACCTCCAGATAGAATTATGGAAAGACTAATAATAACATCTTGCTCTACTTTGAACAGTGTCATGAAGGCTTGAGAACTGGATAGGAAAGTGGTGAGTTTACTGGAAATTAACGTTTCATGAAGAACATGGAGTATACTATACGTGTCTAAGGAGTGCACATTCGAAAAATACAAATCACTTGTAAATCCGAGGGTAAAGTGTATCACGTAGATACGCCTACTGATAACCTGATATTGAAACATTCATTCTCTCCACATGTTAATAATTATGAGCAATAATTTGGTGGAGGAAATTTAAGAAGTTTAGATGGTAGAAATTTCAAACTGAAAAGAAATTCTCGCAGACATTTTAACAAGTTATATCACCAAAGGTTACACTCATTGAAAATATATAGAATCGCCAACACAAATATCCCTTCAAACACATGGCCTGATAGGAACCATCCAGTTGAGTTATGACGACTAAATGCATCCTATCAGTCTTTCAAAGAGATACGGTTTTATTAGCCACCAGAAAGTAAGTGGCTGTTCATTTTGATCAATAAACATGTTAAGAAATGTCACAAATTGGTTGGATTAGCAATGCAAACCAATCTCAAATAAGTTGTCACATAAGAAGTAGATATCGTGTCTCGGTTGCTTCGCGGATAATACTGTAATGCTTGAAGTGACAGGTAACAGCCTCAAGCCTAAATGTGAGCCACATTACTATCTGGGGACAGATGCATTCAGCCAACACCTCCTAGGTAGGATGAAATCAGCATCCCATCATTGTGTCCAAATCCTCAAAAGTAGAAACGGCTACCTTCAGTCAACCCTCTAGATTCAATCTGATTAAATAACTAAGCTCTGAATTCTTTTTAATTCCTGTTACGTTGTATCAATAATGGCTATTCATATCTCATTGAAGTGTTTGCCACGTGTGGTCTTAGCCTTCGGCGAACCATCAAAAGAATGTGAACTATGTGTATTATTGGGCATCAGTATATGTAAACAAAATGGTAACAAGTAAACAAATTTTTCTCTAAAACCTTGTTGTTGCAACCATTATCCCTGTGGCTGCCAGCATGGTTCAGTTACAGTCATTTTATTCTGCATAAGAAATTTAATGTCTAGGTATTCACATTTCCGGGTTAAATTTCTGTACCTAGTTAAACAAAAACCTGGTTTTAGTTATACTAGAGAATAATATTTCTTGTAGTAAAAGACAGTATGCTGTTGCTATCATGATAAGGATGTGATGAGAAACATCAGCTTAATGTACACTTAAACCCTAAATTCACCTTTTCATTGACAGTATATCTTATTATACAAGTCTAAATGAATTTTTCCCAAATAACATGTTCAATTTTGAGTATATTTGTTTTTTAGAACCTAAACCGAGTTATCTACGATCACCTGTTCAAGTAAATTTAACGTACAAACAGCACCATTTACGCTTTGACTCTCTGAATGCAAATTAATTTGTAGATCAGAAAAAACGGTTTTCATGTCCCTTATCTACGAATTTACTGGTGCCTCACTTAAATTTTTTTCAACGCAGATATTTTTCTGTCTTTTTCATAGTCGAGCGTTGGTCAATCAAAGCTGAAGCTGAAAGAATAAATCAGTTAGAACAACTGGTCATCTAAATAATATTATTAAACATACCTGTGGAAGACTTCTACTCTTGACCAGTGGATCAAGAGAATAAACTTCGGGTTCTAAGCATATCTCTTTCATAGTTAAACCAATTGTTTGGCTGACTGGATTACCATCATAAAACTGAATTAACAGTGTTGGTGGAAGTAGAGTTATATACGCATGTGCTGAAACAACATATTGAACTGTTTGACCATTTGGCGTAACGTAAACGGAACATGTGGCTTTGTATGTCCCGGAAGTAAGAAAATTAGCAGGGATACCAAGTCTTAGCGTTTTTGAGCCTAATTGTTCAGACAACGAAATTGATCCAATCGGTTGAGCAGTATCTGGATCAGTAGACTCTAAAGTCCATAATTTCTGATTTTTCTGTTGTAACAAACAGTCTGACACAGTCAGTACTGCTTCGACGTTAATAACTTCATTGGTGAATGATGTAATAGGATAATTTGTTGATTGTGATAATGCATCAGCCATGGTCAACTTAGGTGGAGGACAATCTGAATCTGTAACTGGTATATACACTTTAGTTTTAACCATTTTCATTGGATTTATAGCTTGAATATGCACATATTGAGGTCCAGTTGACATATATTGAACATTTAACCAGAAAGTCAGATTGACTGGTTTATCAAGTAAACGTAAATAACTGGGACATAAAGAGCATGTGGAAGTAGGATCTATCATTTTTGGGTAATAAACTGAACCAAGTCCATCTGACTTTGTCACACATGTACATGTATCGTTTGAATAGGCTTCAAACGAAATACGTATTAAGCCTCGTTGATTTGGTTTGAGCATTCCAGTGCCAGTAAGATTCGCCTGCAATCCACGTAATGATGTTCTGATTGAAATATTTTTGGAAGTTGACTTCGAGCTTACTAGATTTGATGCCAGTACTGAAACTTTATAGTCCCCAAACTAAATAATTAGGAAAATCAAAACATGCAGGGATTAAGTGAAGTAATGAGAATACTAGCCTAGTATTTGTTGAAGCTACTCAATCGTAAGCTGATGACAAAATTATGCTCAACGCATTGCATAGAAGACAAAGCATAAATGAATACCAATCTGTTTAATACAAATAATTATCATAGGGTTATATCGAGAGGTTGTTGGTCTCATCAATAAATAGCACAAGGAAAGGCCACTAAACATGATGAATTGTTACACTACACCACTAAATGGCTACATTTCGAAAACAACAACTACTGGATTCAAGCTTCATAGTTCATCAAGGATTTGTCAGTTACATTAAACTTAAATGCTTACGCGTGGTTGTGGAACGGTCAAGATGTCTACAAACACAATAAGAAAGCATTCTGGTGCTTAATCTAATGCTTTTCATGAAATTACCTTCGAAATCAAAAATCTTTTTGAAGTTCTAAACGGAGCATACAAGTATTGACGGTTTAAATCCTAAAGGTGATGTGTTTACGGATTATTGTCAGAAAGATGTGGAACAAATAGCCAACTTTGGTTATACAATTCCTTTTACTTTAATAAATTGATGGCTATTAACAGGAATCTTTAAATTTAGTTTTTCCCGTTCAGTGAGCACTATGTTTGACGTGAGACATAACTTTAAATGATTCCCGGATGCAGATATTCTACGGAAACGATAAAGTTATACTGTTTAAATAACTGTTGTTTTCTTGTCACTATGATTAATTTTCACACTATCCAATACCGTTCATGAGCTGGTGAAAGAGATAATTGATCGATTTTCTGTGCTTAAGACAAGAGAGTGGAAGGTAATATCTACCTCATTTTTCACTAAGAATTGTTTATTGAGCATTTTAGAGTCAAATGCGGGATCTCACTCTATAGTCCTAGACACTGCATTTACAACTGGAGGAAGGATAGTTTCTCATTAATATAGATGTAAAACTTGGGCACTGTAACAGAATTTAACGCCACGTTAGATTTTTTTATTTGATTTATAACACACAGTGATATAGTATTATTTATTTGATGACGTTTCGAGCATAAACTATTGCTTATAATCATTTCAAAGTAATCACACTATTTTCGATATCTGATTTTTATTATCCCGTCACCTCTTATTCTTTGTTTTATTGGTAGTATAGTTTTCCACATCTCTGGTACAGCTGCTGAGTCATTTCTGTCATATATGTTGCGTGTTGATTCGATGAACAAAGATTCAGTAGTCAATCTCTCTCTCTCTCTACCCAATTATATAGGACTTAAGTACAGTACAGTGGTTCAATCCAACCCTATTGTGTGGTTGTGTGTTAATGTACGCATTGCAGTATTCCAGTTTCTTCTAGATTATTGATCTTATTGGGGTCTGCCATTCTATATGTAGCTAAATTCCTGTGTTCCGTTTATCTGACTGATCCCAACCAGCTAGTTTGACCATGTACTTGACCTCACAGTCAATACATAGAATTCGATAGAATAGATTATTTCTCTTAATTGGTTCTATCGAATCCCTAAGCCGGCAAAGCTTATCTCTGAGTGATTTTATAGGTTGAAATGCCACATTAATTCCAGCTTTGTCAAGGATCCTATGTAAAGTATAGGGTAACACGATGGAGACTGTGAACTCCTTTCCACTCCTGTTGTCGTTATTATTCGTACTCGTGTTACTGTTATTATTTCGTTTCTTACGTGTTCGTATGAGTTTTTTAATAAACGGTAGAGGATAATTAATAGTGAGTAGTGCTTCTTTTGTGTTTCAGTTCATTGTTTAAGTCTTCGCACTTACTAGTCAGTTTTCTAGCTCTATCATTTAGACATTTCACCAAACCTGCCTTAACTGTCATTGGATAAGATGACTCGAAGTCTAGACTTCAACCGGAGAAAAGATAGCTTATCATTGTATGACAAAATTTGAATGTATAATAGGTCACAAATTTAGAAATACTGTTTCGTAGAAGCCTCAAATCTTTTTGACGAAGGAACTTTACGGTTAGCCCTCAGATTGAAAACAAGCAAGTTTGACTGAGATGTTGGATTAAAAGTGGAATTAATGGAATAAGAATCATTTCTCCCAGTAACGTCTACCAGCAAGCGATTTAATTGTAACGAAAACAAGAAAACAGTGCACTAGAAAATCACAACTTTAACAATTTTGCAATAGCAAGCAATGCTGACCAGAACGAGTTAGTTCGATGACTTATCTTGGAATTTTGTGGCTTTTTCCACTTTGATATTTCTAGTATATTCATTCACCTCATTCCATCTCTATATAAAAAAGCCACCAACTTCGAATCATGATGATTCCAGTCATTTGTTGTGATTCAAAGAATCTTAATGAACAAAAGTTGATGAACAAACGAATATCATGGAATCTACTCATGTCGAAATAATCAGATTCATTTTTAATAATTCCGCTTACTCAACACACACCTCCGTAATCCAGGTGGCTAGGAAAAGTAATCCACATGAGTAATGTATTTATTTTCATTTTTTCATCAATTTCTGGTAAACTCATGAACTAATCATAAACACAGAAGTTGATGATGGGATCCTACAAAGGAGTTTACCTCACGATTTACATACTCTGAGGTAGATAAATCTACAATTCTTGTAGGTAATGAAACTGCCAATTGCATTTACCAAGTAGGATCACCACATAATAACTAGCAGACTACATTCATCTACAAAAGAAAAGCACTTTCTAACAGAAGTACATCTGTTCATATCAGTAGGTCACCAACAAGATCATACTAAGTTTAAATGATAACCTGAATATTGAAAGTTTGTTTCTTAGACTCACGGTAATTTAGAAAGTTAACTAAAAGTAATATTTCAAGTGATTACATTCATGAACCTGTCAAATAACTGTTTCTTAACAAAGGAGACTGATGAGATTAAAATCATGAGGTAAAATATGGCAAAAAAGATAACGTAGAAGTTCACATCAGTTTCGATGTCGTTTTTATAATTGAGGTGAACATATGTGCGTCGAAGGATCCTTGAGATAGAAAAACCCACCAGTTAATTAGAAAAAAGGTTTAGATATGTATGTAAATGTTTGCACCAAATGAATTTAGATTTTTAATTGAGATGGTCAGTTTGCATGCTCTTGCTGGTGTGACTTTACTATGATAAAACAATGACATGACGTTGTAGATTAAGCGTATCTATTATAAATGCTACACATAATTTTACTGCGCAATAAATATTACCTGTGTAAATGTATACAGAAAGAAATTGTTCCAAACAGTTGCTGAATCTAGTGTGACATTAGTGCTTGTATTTATGATTGAGTATGTGATGTTTGCCACATTGTTTGGTTTACCATCGGCGTATACTTGAAACTTTAATTGTACTCCGAGAGAATATGAATTTCCCTCCACTCCATAACCAGGTTCACCAGTCAATGCAACTGTTATTCGGAGATCAATTTGTTCAAATCCACTGAATGCAGCAATCTTTTTTAAAGGAAAAGAAAAAAAAATGTATTATGAAGAAATTTTTTTCGATGTTGAGTACGGTTTTTCATAACCTGAAAGGTATTTTCTGATCAAGAGCCTTTTTAATTAGCCTATAACGCTTACTATGCACCCAGTCATGTTCATGCACCACCAAAAACTCTTGTATACACTTTTTCCCAACGGATTCGTCACTCAATCAGCCTACACAACCTCTGTACAACAGAAGAAAAAGAACAATGCTCACTACCCCTTTCTTGTTGCTCATGCTCTGAGTCACTCATATATACAACTGGATTGTTTACTCTCATCGAAGCATAACTCACAAAAAATGAAATAGATTATTTCTAACGGTCATTTATTTCGGACCCATAGAGCATAGAAAAATAAGTAAGAGGTCGAAACACGACCCTTGAATTGATGTATGCAATAGAACTATCACAAACTTTTAAGTAGAATATCATATAGAGTAAATAGATTTATACTGCCAAGAACACTTATCTGAGATTCGCACTTTTCTTTCTTCTGTCAGTGCAAGAAGTTTAGTTATTTGTATAAATAATAATAATTTGGATTCACAAAAGGGATTGAAGATTTCTGTTAAAACGCGTTAACCAATCTTCTCAACAGATATAAATCACTCTTTTTTGAATTTCAATGGTCTTCATTCTTTTCGTATAAATAAACGAAATAACCAGATGAACTGCCCGAATGGAGATTTTGCTTTTACAATATGATTTATGTAAAATGTCAAGTTTAAGATTTCATCTGTTACGGAGGAAAGTTAGTTAGTTCCACAAAATGTTCCTCATGCGAAATTTAGAAAGGAATGACGATCGAATTTCTTATTTGTTAAACAAGTTATGAGATACAACATAAGCAGCATTTTTGCAAAGTCAATATACAAAGTGTTCTCAGTTACATATGAGATAAAGCTAATTATGCTTTTTGACAGCAAACCGGCTCTTACCCTTGGAAAACGCTAGTGTATATGCTATAAAATCATGAATCGATAATCATGTATTGTGGATATCCCGAAGTGCACCAGGACTTACGCTTTATTCTGATTCAATCATAAAATCTACCAAGTTGTGTCACTTCGAATTATTTTAGGTGATCGCATTGTGTGGTTACCATAGTAGACATTCAGTGAACCAGGAATAATTTCAAAGAATTTCACGAAATCCTGGATTCATTCAAGGTAGAAGGTTTATAAAAATATTAAAAATGTGGCGTACTCTAATATAAATAATTATAAACTAGACATTTTCGGCGTAGAGAAATATTTTTCTTCTGTAGGAGTTTGTGCATATGCATACTAAACTGGAAACAGAGACTGAGATACTTCCTTGAGAAACACGGTTCTTGCTAGCACCGTTGCCAATAAGTGTGGTTTGGATATACTTAACTGCGTTAGTGAATTTCTTAGTTCACATGTAACCGTAAAAACATCACCTCAGGTATTTCTGTCCCCAAAATAAGGCAAAACCTGGATATTTTGATGGTTCTTTCTTGAGTTTGTTTTCAATCGAGCATTCTCGAAACATTGCGTTGGAGTGAAACCATTGAGTAAAATAACTCACTCCAGCATCTCAATTTATTCCCATATCAGGGGAAGACATCTTTGTATTTTTAAATACAGTAGCATTGCTTGACCCATTTGTTTACTTGTATCTTGGTAGACCAATTGGTGTCGTTACGTTACTGCTTATTAAAGTGAACTTATGCTGACTTCAATTCTCAATAGTGCTATGGGATCCTTTATATACACACTCTTTCTGTCTCTACCTATGCACTTTTTTATACTTCAAACTTTATGCCACTTTCTATGTGGGAGTAATGACCAGATTATAACATTTAGCTGAATTTTCATTTTTGGTGAGTATTAAGGCTCATCACAATTACATTTCGTTCAATGGGTTTTCATTTGAGTGATTCAGCTCATACTGTTTTCTTTTGGCTATGTTGTAACCTTTTCTGTTCACTTCCGTGTGTTTTTAGATATAATTCATTCGATAGTCGCAATGGTGTCCATTTTATTGCTAACTGTGATTTATTAACTGACGCAGCTCTGCGAAGTTCATTTGATATACACGCACCATAATAACTATGCCTTTAAAAGGAGTGAAAAACACCCTAGATACCTTACAGTGCAATGTTTGAAACGTTGTTAAGATTTGCCGACATATAGTGTTGCAGTAACAGATTCTGATGAATCTCCCGTCATAGATCCTGAGGTTTCGCTCATAACTCTAAAGTTTGTTCTTGAATTTCCTGAATGGAATCTGCAGATACTATGCTGAATATCAACCAAATCTAGTTTGAAAAAATGCTCATATCCTAGATTCAGGCACAAATGTGAAGAAATTACTACCTTACAATAACATTTGTCAAAATGACCAAAAATATATATCAGGTGAATGGTTTAGGTTGTTATGCTGTGTGACCTGGTTTGTTTAAATGTAAAGCTTTCATTGGATTCCTCCACAAGACCATGAGCACTAACTTCAATAAGAACTTCACTGTGAAGTTAGCGCTAGTGGTATCTAGATAGACAATCAAGGCTTCATCATTAGACTATCCAGCTCACTTAACTCCATGCGACCAAGACAATTTATGTCAGCAAAATCGGACCTTGTATTGGCATGCGGTCTGCTACAAACCAAATACAAATTATTTGTTAGGGTGAGTGCACTGATAACCAAAAACACCTTGCTATATTGGTTTTAATGCAGATTAATGTATTAAATCTCTCTTACAGACATTTAGTTTGTAGCTGACTCCGCTTTGTTCCAACATACTTCATTTATTGATATAAAGTTTACTTTTCCGATCCTCACTGAAGGTAGACGGCTTGCCGAAAACTCGTGACGGATCAGCGCACTCAGTAGTCCCTAAAACTTTCTTTATTATACTGTGTACACTTTCTCATTTAATCGGACTGGATAATCGCATATTTTACTGATCTTGATATTCATCCGTAGCTATGTACACAGATATGGCAGTAAAACTGTTCATTAGATGTATCAAACAGTATTATTCACTGGATAACATTTCAGGCATAAATACTCAAATTATGAAGTTCACCAAACCTGTGGAAGAAAAGCCTGCAGTCCACAATAATGAAATTAACAACAGCACATCACCAATAATCAATAAGTCAAAGTGGGTTATCAGTCTCTCAGCTAGAGTTCTAGGCTTAGCAGAAGTAAAGGTGCTAGAGAAAGGCCTTAACTTCCATGTAGTGCCTAATGAATTGAAACCAGACGATGTTCTTTCCAAAATAGAAATAGCACTAAGTTCAACAGATAAGACAACTGTAGATAAGATAAGAGCACAGTGTGCTACAACGCTGAAACGACAGAAGAAAATGAAACCTAATTTACCCAAAGCAGAAAGAGAAGCTCTTAAGAAACTTCGAAATGACTACAGTATAAAGATTGGCAAATAGGATAAAGGTAACTCACTGGTTGCAATGATCAATCTGACTACATTTGCAAGATCAATGAAAATAGAGAAACAAGAAAGCAATGGATACTATTATGAATGACGTAAAGAAATCCACATGGGATCTAATAAGCCGAATGGAGACGTTTTTATGTCTAGTACTCTTACAATTCATAAACCAGGCTAGCCTACCAGGCCTATAGTATATTTTAGAAACACTCCAACTTATGAGTTAGTAAAAGTCCATTTAGAAACCATTCAAGATCATGAGTCACCTGAAATGAATATAGATAAATTACGTCTGAAACGTTATCTAGTGAATAATACTATTTCACTGTGTGCTACATCTAAATAGCAGAGTAAACTGGTATGCAAACGAATGTTGCGTTGTTACAAAAGAACAGAAGCCTTCTTAATTATGTTTTCATCCCTCATTCCTTTGAGTTCATCAGCTTTAAAAGGTTTAGAACTTGAAAAATAGCTAGACTTCTGGTATCATTAAATTATGATTTCTAATTGTAGCAACTATTAATAGTACGGTATACATTCTGTCGAAGTATTACTTGCTGAAAATTGAAGTTGTGTCATTGGACTGGTCTGAAATTGAGTATCAGTGCTTACCCATAGAGTTTATTTCTTTTGTTGTCGAATAGAGATTATGAAGTATGGTAAGACAGTGGATTCATGTTGCTGTCCTTGTTAAAAAACCATCTGATTAGGCAACTAAGCCTAGTGATTACCCGTTGGAAATTCTAGTTTTCTCAACAATGTTTTTTATTCTGAATCAGCAGAAAATTACCAGAGAATTAATAATGTTTTTCGAATAGTTAATCTGCTGCTGACTCTTGTTATCTGGGTTTAGTATCATGTTGGAAACTTTTATTGAGAACAGTACTGCAGCAACACAATGGACTGTCATTCACCGTCATTTCTTTCTTTGACAATCACCTGCTAGGAAAAAGGAAACTGTCTATCAACTGTTACTCAAGAGAATTCATCTCGTATTTTCTATTCATTCTTAATAACGCTATACAAACGCTATTATACCATATCTGAATATAAATGATAGATACAGCTAAAACTGACCTGTGTATTTTGTACCATACTGCTCACAATATTGTCCAAAGTAACGGAAGCTTGAAAATAATTCATATCAGTTAAAGTGTGATCAATCCTTTGAGGCTGGTTGGCTAAGGTGAACATACCTTCTGAAGGGATACTTGCATCACCCCAGATCACTTTGTATTTGGCTAGCGTTGGAAAGTTGGCAGTTAAACCATTGTATTTCAGGGTGAACGAAACGACGCCTAAAATATAAAAAATAAGGTAGACTTTGAAGTAATCGTAGTTTAGAACTTAGTGTATTTACATATAAGTAAATAAATTATTAATCAGCTGCTACTATTTTTATCGTTTATAGCTGTGTTCTGTACCATAGGCGGTTTGATTGTCAGTTTACACAGACGTTACAGATTTACAGCTGCATACAGATATTTGACCTACATGAATATGCTTTCTTTACACTATGTTACAAAAACGAAGGTGATATGTAA